ATTTGCACTTGTTGCATTTCAGCTTACATTTAAAAAACATAATCGTGCTCAAAATACTGACTTTAAGTAATCAGATTACATGTAAATTTTCCATGTATTTTTGTTATTTAAGTAAACTGTTAACTTGTCACCAGCATATATTTCTTAATGACAAATTATTTAAATAAATGAACCTTTGTTTTTCTTTTTCTATTTCAAGATAATTTTACTCTAAATTATTGCTTCATGTTTATGACAGCCAAGAGGCTTTTCTGTGTTTTGTCGTTAAGGGCGAGCTAGTTTAAGAGCTTTCAAAGCTCCCACACGTTTTTAAACCAGACATATTGTGACACAGAAAGCACCATGAGCTACGCTTTTCTGTCATTATTAACTGACTTGACCACCGTTTGCCATCTAATCAAAGTTAGGACAATCAGCTTGCTGTATCATTTGCACAAATGAATCAGAAATTAAGCAAAAATTGTATCTCATCCCGATATAAAATGATTTAATTCCCCTATACGGCTACTTCCAGGCTCCATAGACTAATTTTTCAACATTTATTCTTCCTTCTACTACAACCCTCCTTACAATGATGCAGTTTCTGATCCCAGAGTCCTAAGCAGTGTTTCTGGATAACATGTTTGCACACAGGCAACACCAGTTAGTCCTAAAAAGAGGCAAAACAGACAAAGGGAATAAAGACAGATGGCAGCGACTGAAGACAAGAAAATGTTTGATCACAGAAAGCTTAAGCTAGCTCGAGCACGTCTACAGTCGTCCTCATTATCATCATTCCAGTCATAGAACATCAGCATGATTATCACAATAGCCATTAAAACACCCTAATAATCAGAGTAAAGTACACTTCAGCTACCATCAAAGGCAGGCAGGCGTAAAGGGCCAGTGCACATATTTTTCATGTGAAACACAAGCTCGAGTCAGTTTGTTTGCTGTGACATCATTACACTGAGCCCTTTGCACATTGTGGCAGCGAACCAGGCCCTGCCGACGGGGTCCACTCCAGAGCCGTCCAATAGTGCTTTGCGCCACACTTGGCTGCTAACTTGACAGAAATTAGGAAGGTCACTTAGCATTACAGTCTCCTCAACTGTTTATTATTTTACTCCAACTCAGTAACGTCGAAGTAAGTAAGTAAGCTCCAAGTTTGCTTTCCACCAATTTATCTGAGCAACTCCATGTGGATGACATTGTTTCTGATATTAGAATATAAGATTTTTTTAAAAAAAAAAACCCGGAGAAAAAGAAATAAATTAGACTGAGGTCTCAGGCCCGGCCCCACTGTAATTGTACCCCTGCCTTGAATGGCGGGAGCTATCAGCAAACCGGAGGAGGGGGGTGAAGGTGCAGTAGTCTGGCGCTTTTTGCCAGCGTGTGAACATGACTTTCTTGGTAAAGGGTTCAGACCTTCGAGGGTTCCTTTGGTTTTCCGAGCCTCGCCGGTGGCTGCTACCCTTAGACGGAGCGTGGAGGGAAGCCAAGGGGGTGAACTCAGACAGCTGGCCCTTGTAGAGTTTATCTGCATTCTGTATGAGGGTACAAAGGGAGGAAAAGGGGACAAGGAGGAAGAAAAAGTTCAGAGAAAGTAAAGACTAAAACATGGCACTTGTGGAGTAATGCAAAAGAAGAAGGTGGTAACACGTCGCAGCTGGCCATAGTTTGAACAGATAGCATGTGACTTAGTGGAGTCAAGTCTCCATCTGGTAACAATGCCTCTGTGAGGTCCTGAACTACAAAACTGCCTGTAAACCAGGACTCTTCACCTGATAGCCATCAACCCCATCAATGCCCCCAAGGCTTAATGGGAGCAATGAGCATTATGTGCTGTTAGAGAAACTTATTAATGCTCATTATAACTAACAAATATGAATACATCTGCATACTGCAGGCACCTGATCCTGGGCACAATGCTACATCCTCAAACTTCAGTTGGTTTTTAAATTAATAAAGTATTTCATTTCCTTTAGTTTAATTTGCCAGCTGTGAGGTTAAATTTTCCATCCATTCTGTTCAGGTTTAAAAGCAAGCATGTTAAGAGCAACAAAAAAAATAATAAATCATAAACACCAAAAACATGCAAATGTCAACAAAAAGCTAAACATGCGTTCATTTCCTCTGCAAATATTACTTTTCTGTCTCTGTAGCAACACATTATACCACTAGATGGTGCTAAAGCTCCTTGTGAGAAATCACCCAGCTGGAAGTAAAGTCAGTTGAAATACCTGGAGAAAATGGTTGAGCTTTTAGGACCTTCATACAAATAAAGCACACACTCCAACCCTTGTGTTAGTCAAGTACAACAACCCAAAGTCAAACCGCACACCACACCAGTTAACCCACCATCACACAGCAGCAACGTGTGCATTTTACCGTGCTGAAGCCCTGTAGGCTTCTGTGACAGCTACTCCATCAACAAGGAATCAGAGCTCATGTAGGCCAGGGCCCTCTCATACCTTTTATTATCTCTCCCTTGCTGCAAATACACACACACACACACACACACACACACACACACACACACACACATTTGAAGACAAACACATCTACCATACGGACTCAAAATTGAAGCATCAAAGTAAGAGTGGTTTCTAAAACAAAAGGTGATTAAGGCCACACTGAATCAAGATGTAGATGCACAGGCATGCAGTCAGATAAGACTGTAACTTCATGCAAAACAGTGGAAATGACACAGTAACAGGATACAGACTGAAAGGAAAATGAAGAGAAAGACGAGACAGTAGGAAAGGCTGAGGGTCACCTACAGAAGGGCTGGGTTAGAAACTGATTCTGCTGGAGGTCTGAGACAGCATAAAGATGGTGGAAGGCTCGGAGGCAAGGCACCGACGCTTAGTCTGCCAGGGAGGAGAACCACAGAGGGAGAAGGAGGAAGAAGCAAGAGATCAGGAGGAGTGAACAAAGGCAGGGAAGAATTACAGCTGGGAAAGAAACATGTCAGATCTTCCAAAATACCACATGATTAGTTTATGAGAAAGACAGCAGCATGTAAACATTCTTCTTAGGCTTCTCAGGACAGACTGGATCATACTGGAAAGTCTTTGGTGATGGTTATTAGCTCTCCACAACCACAGTTATCAGGGAGGTTATAGGAAAAGGAGTTTGGGATGTAGAGGGAGAAATAATTAGTATCTGTAGGAAAAGGAAGTGAAGCAGACTGCACTGCAGCCTTCCCAGAAAGGTTGACATCACTCATCTAGTGCTATCCATACAATGCACCTACTCATACAAAAACATTTGTGTTGTGTTTTTCAGTAACTCCACTGCAACTGGATCCCAGTGCTTCATATATTATGTATCATTATATCGTCTTATTTTTTTGTGGACATAATTTCTTCTGTCAACTATCAGTGGAATACTGAATATTTCAGTATTTTGCTGCTAATGAATGCCTTCTGCCATTCATTATTTCTGAGCCACATGTCAGTGTTTATACACCTAATCATGTTTTTCTGGTCCAATCTTTCAGTCCTGATGAATCAGTATGCATCAGATAAATAACTGCTGTTAATGCTGCTCTTGCAGCGCCTCAGAGTTGAAATCAGTCCATAGCTTTAAGTTTATTCTCTTTTTTACATAAGCAGGATGTTTTTTTTTATCCCATCTTTCCTTCTTTCTTCTTACTGTGCAGCATTATTTAATGTTCATTTTCAAAACTGCTCTGGAAATAAAGTTTTGTTTGCAATTTTCCTTCTTTTATACAGTGTTTATGAAACTCTAATGCACATTTCCACACTGCAACCCATTAACAATTAATGCTTTTAGAGGCACTCCTGGTTCAGCAGAGGACACTGTTCTTATTCTCCATTAATAAAACACAAAACTCTGAGTGTTAGCCGCTAAAAAAAAAATACACACTATTGTGTGCACTCGTCTTAAAAATTAAAGGAGCGCTGCACACAAACACAGAGGCTTAACTACCGAAGCAGGGATGTAGCCACACCCTGCATACCTCTGCTGACCCACAATTGTCAGTTCGACATGTCAGGAACTGAAACATCCCAGTGAATAATAAACAGTAAACGCAGGTAGCTTGAAGGTAAATATACAAAATTGATTTCTGCCTTGCAAAAGGCAGGGGGCGCTGTTTGACCTGTGTAAACTGAGCTTTCTTGCATTTTTCATTATTAATATTCATGTAGAAAAGAAGCAGCAACATTTATTGAAGAACAAATGAAGTAACACGTCCTACTTTGGCAGGAAGCAAAATATTTACGGGATGTGTGGTCATCAGTCTTCTTGCATTACTGCAATTATTCCAAAATATCCATAATACTTTAAAAAAGATTAGTCCTCTTTTAGTTTTATATGCAATTACTCTCTATTTCTGCAAGCATTTGTGCCCACCTGTATGCGCTCAGTAGTGGTGGGCCACAGTGTCCTCCATATGACCTTCTTCACCACATCTGGCAACAGACTGGCTGTTATCAAAAGGATTATACTGAGCCAGGCTGGGCCACTGGACAACATCTGCATGAACACATAGTACATCCTCTGGTAGTTGAGGAATGGCCTGTAAGAGAGGAAAGGACAGCATGAAAACAAATGCAATAAAACATCTAATAAAACCTCACTCTGACTGACACAGTTTTACATCAAGTAAACATTTAAGGAATCCATCCAGCATTTAAATACGAAAATATTTCTTTAATCATACCAGATGATTCCGCCCCACAGCAGGGAGAATACCACAAAGAAGATCAGTGAGCCCCAGATAACGAAATGATTGATCCAAGTCCAGTAATGAGTATCTAGGGCCAGCTACGACACAGAGACGATGAAAGTGAGACTGGAGCCAGACTTGCCTGGGTGTTTCTGTGATCTTCTGATGTGTCTGTGTGGTTACCTTGAATGTAACAGTGAAGACTAGCACAGTGAAGACGAGTGTCCCAAATGTCCAGTTTCCAAACATCTGCAGAAGGTAAAAAAGCAGCTGCTGTTATTGATCAGGAGATTTGTGCATGAAACACTTTCAACTTCTTGTTTTTTTGTTTTTTTATTTTATTGTATGTTTGATGTGAACAGATTCTAAGCAACTGTTAAAGTAAATAATTTGACTTATGCTTATTCAGTACTTAAATGCTCAGCACACCTGCGTTAACATGCTTTTCGGATGACATGACTAGGCTATGAGGTAAAAGTTGACATATTCAAGTAAGGAATCAATCAATCAAACAGATGGCAGGGTGCTCAGGTAGCAACATTCAGCTGGTTATCAGATGACTGATGGATGGGAAACAGGAGGATGATGTGATTGTAGTTGAATATTCCTATCAATCTCTTCTGTGAGTGAAACCCTTTTATATGAACACTAAATAAGTCATTGTGCACATGTAAGACCACCACAATGCAGGGCAGCCTCTTCACTACAACTTACGACAATGAGCTCCTTCAGCATTTTGTGCAGCACTAAAACTGGCATATTTTCCCTTTATTGTAATTATTCTGAGGTGTCATATTAAAAGGTACATGGAGAACATAGTGATTCTAGCACACCATAACTGAGAAGTGACTGTTGCATAATTTACTTTTTTTCACAGGCCTGTGGCAATAAGATGAAGCCCAAAACCAAAAATTAACTAGTATCATAAAATTTAAAGTATGGGTACACTGAAGGTCATCTAACTGCTTGGGCTACACTATACATCTGCTAAAAACAGGCACCTTGGGTGAAACGTGATAAATAAAGTTAAAAAATAAAAATGATGAGCATGAAATGATAAAATAAAAGCTTTTCAGAGGCAGCTTCCAAATGCAGCTCTGATTTTTACATTGTTAGTACAAGTATAGTACAAGCTACTAACAGATACATTACAACATAAACTGTAGCGCTACAGAAACACTCACATGAGGCAGAAAAATGATTTTTATCATTGATCAAATGCATTTCAATGTTTTTCTTTCACCTTTTCTTTTTCTAATATTTTAAAAGCTTCAGATTTGCTTCCTGTCAGATAAAGATATTAACACTTCTGTTATGTGTTTATAAGTAATCCTATAAAAAGTTGTAATGCTTTAGGCAATGATCTCTAACTATAATGGAAGCAGGAGCACTTATGCCCTGCTTTTAAGAGAAGTCCTAACTTCTGCCACAAACAAAGCACACAGGATGTATAACTAAGGTGTTTGGTCACTGACAGCTGGACACATGAGCATGGGTCTGGGAAACAGCGAGTCACTACAGAAAAGCCTACAGCTGATGTATCTACAGCAAGCACTGAGGGCCGGACATGAGATGAACAGCAGTTTGTATCAGGCTGTGTGACGGTGGCGAAACAAGGAAGTGAAACTAAGGAGAGACGACAGAGAGACAGCGACAGGCTTACCATCTGTGTGTTGGTTGTCATTAGCTGGGAGGAGGAAAGAGAAGCAAAAAGAAAAAGCAACAAAAAGGTAAGAGGATAGGAAGAAGAAGAGCATGTGACCAGAAGAAAATCATAATAACATAAACAGTTTTATGGCTGAAAGGAAAATAATTGAAAAGAATTGGATGCAAAAAAAAGAAGAAGAAAACCCAAGTGAAGTCAAGCAACTCAAAAACAGTTCAACATATTTCTGGGAGAGTAATGCAGCTTGAGAAATTAAACAAACCAAATAGAGAACAGAGAGGAAGATGATGGGAACCCCGCCATGCTGTCGTGTCTTACTAGAGATTTATGCTTCAGCGGGAAATCTATGCTGTTACCTGCAGCGTAACCGCAAACCCCTCTAAAACCTATGGCGTAACCTGGCGTGGACCTCCGTGGGAAGGAAAAAATCCCAGCATTTTATCTGTTTCTGTCGGCCAGCACTGCACCGGGACACGACCACATGGTAATTACCACATAATGCACCAGCACGAGTGTGAATCCTGCCAACAGCATATGCCACTTGTGTAGGTTATGTTATGGGCTCTAAAAAGATTTCCCGCAGAAGCCTAAATCAGGCCTTAGATATAAACCACACGTCATCAGATTTTACTTAAACATCGATATATATATATATATATATATATATATATATAATTATCCAACTGACATTAAATATTATTTACTAAAAGGCAAAATAGTCTTCAAACTTTATCAGCCGACAACCTGCATTTTTAAGTGAAATAAATAATGTAAATTAGATCAAAATAAATAACCATCCAGTACAAGGTCATTATTATGAGAAATTACTTGACCATAATTACCTCATAGCTACATGTAACTACCAGATAGTTACTTTTTCAAACAAAATAATGTGCAATGTCAGGAAAATACATTTATAATACCGGATCCATTTACACTACAGGTTTAATGTTAGTTTGTGCTACAACTTGATCAGTTTCTGCAAGCAACACAATAAGCTACGTGTCAGGCATTAGCCAGGCCATTAAAACCTGTCAGCAAAGCACAGTACAGCCAGTACATTTAAAAGTAAATCCATTTTGCTTTAACTTACAGAGCAAAAGTGGTTGAGGAACAAGCTGAGACCTAAAACACTGTCACTGTGTTCCCTAACTAAACCCCAAACACCACAAGAAGACTAAAAAGTCAGATGACAAACAGAAAACAGATGGAGCTTGTGGAAAACTGAAGTAGCCTATAGATAAAATAGCCAGTTACTATTTTTCCTTTACTTTGAACTTTACTTTAAATATTTTCCAGGCCTTTTTCTCCTTGTTTCAACTAAAGAGCCTGTCAAAGCCACATGGTTATTACCTGTCCATTGCTGGTGAAGGTGGTGTTGTCAAACAGGAAGTAAGCACCAAAGAACATCACAATGGCATCATAAACGCCCAAGACTGTCCAGTATATGAAGGTGGGCCACCGCAGCAAAGAGTTCTTAGCAATATCTCTGTGTAGATATACAGAACAGAGATCACATGTTTATAGATTAATACCACAGTACGCTGCCTGCCTCACAGCCAATGAGTCTCTAATAGTATAATATATACATCGATACAGACAGCGTCATTGTTTGTGGGAAAGGTTGATTCTTTTTTGGAAGAATACAAGTTAAGAGTAAAGCTAAAAATGTAGCTTTTCAAACTCTGAACACATGCAAAACCAAATCCAAGAAGGCGGTTATCTGCCATATGATGGATGTAAAATAAACTGTAATGTAAATATAAATTAATCCGAGTAAAACACCAAATCATCTGCTATTACTTTGCACCTGGAGGCTGTTAGAATTTTAAAGTGTATAAAGTGTCTAAAGAATTATTGAAATATTTATATTTTCTGTTGCTTAGACGACTTTAATTCAACACTGTTCTTGTTACAGTACATCTCCGGAAGAATCCAACTACCACGCAGTCTGCTTTGTATAAAACAGATGGTTCATTATCTGCTGCAGAAGACTGGATTACTGAAACATGCAGATAATTTCTTTTTCTAATTTTCATGTCATGAGAACAAGTTCCTGAAGAACACGTGATATTAGAGTCGATCCAGCTGGTCGATTTGCAGTCTTACTAAACGACACATTTCTAACATGACAATCTTAAACAGAAATCCACCTGTAGAGACAAGGGTCTTTCTTCAGGATGTCCATATTTATGTGCTGCTCGATGAGACTGTAGAGCAGAATGGGCAGCGAGGTGAAGCTGATGTTGTAGAGCGTCAGGTAAGCCGTGTCATACAGCGGCTGGGGTTTGGGAAAGAGAGCCGTGTTAGTATTTTTGTTCTTGTTGTTTTTATGGTATTTAGGGTTTGTGAGTGCACACCTGTTGTGAAAAGCCACAAAAGAACTGGTAGAGGAACTGGGGGAAAATGAAACAGACATTCTGCGAAAAGAAAGAACAACAATTTAAATGTGTACAGGTCTTTTTGTTGCTGAACGCTAATTTTATAGAGGATAAATATCAAAAATATGAAAATTAATGAACTAAAAAAATTAATAAATTAAATCTCACACAAAGCATTCCTGCACACTTAGGCTAAAGCCACAGACTCCGCAATTACAATCATCTTAAAACAAATTAAAAAACTATACAAAGTTTTAAAAAGAAGTAAACTCAAAACATGTTCAGGGCGACTACCTTGTAGAAGAAATATTGTACAAGTTCAGAGATGCGTATGTAGTAATAGTGTCCGTGGACGAGCAGCATCTTCTTGAGGTGTTTGAACTTCGGGATGGCGTAGTCGCTGTTCCTCACTGCCTGGCGACCCTCCTTACCCATAATGCCTGCGTTGTGACCATTTACAGGCCAAAGTATTATTGCAGTGATAATAGTATGGTTCTAACAGTTTTAACACTTCTGCATAAATTTAGTTTTGGAAATTCAAAAGTACAGTTTTTGTGTGGAAAAGGATTTTGTAGGTGCTGTACACACTGCTGACTTCTGTACACAAGGGACTGCTTTTAAGAATTTCTAGTTTCTTCAAATTGAAGCTGTATTAAGAAGGAAACAAACTTTACCAGAGTGTGGCATGTTGCATAGGAATAGACAGAATACTAACCAATACCAACGTGGGCCTCCAGGATCATGCTGACATCATTAGCTCCGTCTCCAATGGCCAGCGTGATTGGGTGCTCCTCCGAGGCTTTGATTAACTTGACAATCTGCAGATTGTGGATTTCAGCTTAGCGTCCATCTGACTCTTAATGACATGAGTGAGAACATCTGTTTCACCGGTAAACTCAGAGTACAGATGGCCTTCGTACCTGTGCTTTCTGAAGTGGCGCCATTCGACAGCAGAGCACGGCACTGCAGTTCCGGCAGATTTCCAAGAATTTCTCTTTGTAATTCCCTGAGTTTGAGCCCTCCTGGCCGGGCCTCATTACAGCAGAGAGGGTAGCTCCGTCAATAATCAGACCATAGTCGGTGCAATCACCTGATAGCCTGGAAAAAAAACACAAAACCTGTCAAATACGAGTAACTGCAGGATGACACTGTCTGAAGCATGCTGTGAACATAATACCCACTCAGAGAAGGTGTCCCGGGTCATGCCCCCATGCTGCCTAAGGACCGTCCTGCTCAATTCAAACAGGACGTCGTGAAGGCTCTGCTCCTCAGTGCGTTTGGTGGTCAGCTCCAGGATTTGGGTGTTGCGATGAAACAGCTTGCTGGCATAGCACGTTGCAGCTGCAGTCTCCATCTTGTCTCCTGTCAGCACCCACACCTTTATACCAGCTTTGTGCAGAGACTCAATGGTGTCTGCTGCTTTTTCCTGCAGCCTGGTACGCAGCCAAGAAACAAAAGGTGGCATGTTTTTAGCTGCATTAAATAAATAGGTTTGTTTTATTTCTCTTTGCCTTTTATTCAACAACAGCTCAACTGTGCAGTACTCCACATGGATTATTTCCTCTCTGTGCTGGATGGGTGAAACGCTCTCTGGGCTGACAAGTAGTTTTAAGCCTGCACTATAATTGCCTTAGTGGCACGTGTGTGATTGGAGGGTTAAACTGCCACTTTCCCTCACTCACTTTGGTTCACTCAGAACTAGGACAGCACTGTCCATGGCAGCAGACACAGAATTACTGTAATGTTAAGAGTCACTTGAGCTGAAGAGGTTTAGACATTTATAGGAAAAAAAGGTGCATAAGTGTAATTTTTGAAAGGGCATTTCACATAAAATTTGCACTTAGAAGGACAAATAACTGAAATGACAACAGCATGCAATGTAAATTGTGGTTATGTTGCCAAGCTACCAGCTGTACAGGAAAACCTTTGATGAAAAAAAAGTGCAGGATGTTAATATAATTTGTCATGTAGGTGTCCTTTATACCAAAAACAATTCTGCACCTGTCCTCGACAGCAGTTGCTCCCAGCAGTATCAGGTCCTTCTCGATGAGGTCGTAAGCCTCTGCCAGCTGTTTGTCTCGGTCTTGTAATGCTAACTTAGCTCTGTTCAGCAGTTGGAAAACCTCCTCGTACTGTTCTGGGCTCAGAGAGCGATAGGCAACACAAAGTGTCCTCAAACCCTCCTGGTGGAGAACAGAGATTCACACAAGGTCAGGCTGGTATATATTTAAGACTCAATAAAAACGAATCTACATAAAACACTGTTTCTTGAATACAGCCTCTGAATGTGAGTGTATGGTGGGTGGATGCCAACTACCCATTCAGCCTCACTAGTACAACACTCACCACATATTTTTCAGTTTCCAAAGAAACCTGTGATTTATCTGTAGCTGCAACCACAGCAACATTTGTGTCACTCGTCTGCTTTTTACTGCATGCAAAT